TTGCCCAAGAAGCATCCTTCCACGAAGTACCATCCTTCGTCTTCATCTCCGCAGCAGCAGGAGCACCCATGCTGCCAAAACGATACATTACCACAAAGCGAGATGCAGAGTCCACGATAGCCTCCTCGTTAACGAAGCTTCGAAGCATCTTCATAAGACCAGGCTTCCTGTATGATTCCTCCCGCAAGTTCACACTCCCGATAGCATTCGCTGGAAGCGCAGGAAATATGGTGAACTCAGCAATTGGAGGACGGTTGACGTGGCTGGCTGGTGCAGCTGTTGAGAAGCCGCTGAAAGTCGATCTTGTGGCCGAGGCAGTGGTTGAGGCCATTGAGGACGGGGCTGTGAAGGGCGTGGTTGGGACGAGTGATATAGAAGCACTGGCCACTAAGGCGTGGAGAAGGGGTATGTTATAATAGTGTAGCATATACCATTCCGCTCCATCGCAGCGATCTCGACTCTTGTTGTCGTCAATCCTATATTCGCAAGCCTCTGGTGTTGCTGTCCTTTCATATCATCGTTCCGCGCTCAAAGCTGTCTCGGATCTCCGCAGTGTACTGGACCATTGTCAGCGTATTCCCACAAGCAATCTCGAACGAGGGACTTACCTTGTTGTAGAAACGTGCAAGCTTCTGGTTGAATTGCTTATTCTTGTCGTTGATGAACGTCACATCTCCATCATCGTCGCCCTTGCCTCTGTCTCTCCTCTTCTTCAACCTCGTCTCCTCCGCCTTCTGTAGGTCTTTGACTAATCTGTCCACAGCCGATTTCTCGGGCTTGTTCTCAATGAAATCCGTACTGTCAGCCGTGGAATAGAAAGTGCCGTTCTTGTCCACAGCCACCAGTTCTCCGTCGTCCATTTCAACAATTTCGAGGCCTCCGCTGAGAGCCGCCTTCTGCACCGCCGCCGCTTTCTGTTTCTCGTAGCCTTCTAGATCAGGCTGGAGCTCCCGTAGCTGTCGCTTGTAGATTTTCCGTGCATCTTGTGTGTAATCTTGGAATGCTACATCTTCTCGATGCTTCTCTTTCTTCTCCATCCGCTTGTCCCATTTCTCTGATTCATCGATCGTCCAGTCCCACGCTCGTTTCCGCTCGAAGTCTTCTCCAGCCGCGACTGTATCAGCTTTTAGCAGGTTGTGTGAGGCAAAGGCTTGTTTGCGGGAAAGTGAAGAAAGAAGGTTGGGATCTGTGGCCAGACGTTGGGATTCGGCAGCTGCTTCTTTCAGGTTTGTTCTGGCTGACTTTTGCTAAAGACAACGTTAGTTTCGCTATGGCTATCAAATTCATTGGACCAGGACTTACTGCACGAGCCTGAAGAGCCTTGAACCGCTCTTGCCTTTCCTTGTTTTGGTCTGCTGAGGCAGCACCCGTATCTACAATTACTGGTTCCTTATCCTCATGTGGCTTGTCGACAGTCCGTGTTCCTTGTGGTTCTGAACTTGGGGCCTGGCCTTCGGCGTCTCTGTCCAGAGCTTCTGATGTAGCTGCAGTCTTGCGCCTCTTCGCTGGAGGCATGGTGTTCGGTCGAAGCTGATTTCGCTAATGGTTCGTGTTAGGTCGGAGAGTCGTTGTCGAGTGTGTGGTACTGGTCCAAGGGTGTGCCGTTCACTTCCATAGGGCTGCTAGCGTCCTCTGACCCCCAGCTCGTTCTTCCCCTACCGTATCCCCAGCCACCCTAGTCTCTCTATTTGCAAGCATCTTTGCGACACCAAATTCCCGACACTATATCTGGGGGAACTCAGGTTATTTGTGTTACATGGCGGGGTATATCGTTGCCTATTCGTGTGTATAGTCTTGGGCGCTCCCAATCCCATTTCTGCCCCTTAGTTAGTTGTCTTCGTCAATATATATCTATATTGATTGCTTATTCTATGTATAGTGGTGACACTTTACGGGTCATTCATATCTTGATATAAGTTATATTGATGGCTTTTCCGTACCTATCGTCTGTTCTGCGGTAGGGCAAGTGGTCTATGGCCGCAACCTTGACCTTTTCCAGCAACATTATAAAGCCTATCCAAGCTAGACAGAAGGCCATATCTACAGCAAGGTCTACTACGTAGTAGTTAGTTATGTTGAAACCACTTAGTAAGCCGGGGTACCCTAAGGGATGGATTAACCCTAGGGGCCGGGCAGGCCATAGGGATAGAAACCCTACGGCAAGGATTAACCTTAGGGGCCGAATATACCCTATGGTATGGGGACCCTACGATATATCGCTACCCGCGGTAGTTATACATCCTACGGCAGTATGAGTATTTCCTACCACCTTGATTTGCCAAGCTGGCCCGTTAAAAGCATCAACAAATGTCTCTTTTGAGTACATCCACCGGTGGATTCGATCTTCCTTTGGATTGTCAAGGCAAGACTACTGTAGTGATCGTTTCCGTTTCTCGTTAGTTTAGCAGCCCATTTTCCCAAGTGAGACACGAAAGACATGCTGCGAACACGAGCGCTAACTCGCATATATGCCAGTCCATTCAATGCACACCGAGAAATACAACTATCTCACGCCTTAGCACCAGGTCTGAAGAGACAAGCTTCAACAACTTCAAATTAAATCTCAGTCCACACCGCTATCTTCAACTCATTCAGCGTGCCTTCATTTTAAAGACTTGGGTGCAAATCGCACCCTCAAGGTAGTCGTGCTGACCTTCTTGACAATTATGGGGGCTATGTAGTCAAGCTCCTATGTCAAAGTTGCGCGGAAGTGGTGGTTGGGTACTAAGGAAGATGCTGCCGAAGACAAGTCCGAGAAGGAGGAGAAGGCATAGGGATGTGAAAATTAGGTGGTGCGGAGCTGAGACACGTTGAAAGACGAAGGCGTCTGATTATAAAAGGGAGTGCACCACCCAATCTTCCGTTCCTTGCATTATGTTACTGTAGAGCGTATGACACCCTTCAACTTATTAGCTTTAATACACCCACGTTCTATGGCATCCAGTCCTCCTCTGGAGTGTATGGCTCTCGAGCGGCCATTTGAAGTTGGTATTGAGATGCTCTCTTGCTCACAGACACGTCCGCCTATTGATTGCCGGTCAAGCTGCTCTTCAAGACCATATCAGGGCCCGGATGAGCTCAAGTTCTTGGAACATCAGGCTTGCCTATCCATCCGCGCAAACCCCCTGCTTGTAGACGGTCCCTCTAGGACCACATCTTTCTAGAGCAACGCTTCTGACCGCACTACAATTAAAGGGCTCAGACCGCTCTGTATCTGAATCTCAATCGCCATGCCCCGTGCCAAGCTGTGTCGTATAATACTGCCACAAGACACCTAATCAGCTCCTACTCTTCCCGCTCAAACCCCACCTCAACCTCTCGGCAAAACCAGGACTGAGGAAGTTACTACTTACCTCCCCCACCTGCCCCGCCAACCCTTCACCCTTCCTCGACACCCCCGTTCTTCCCACCTTCGCCTCCTCCGGCAACGGCCATTTATTTCACCCCCACCACTACCCTCTTATCTTTGCTCCCAACCCTGCTCCTTGCATCATGACCCCACGGCCCCAATACCACCATCCGCTTAGCATTAGCGCCCAGATTGTGCCTTATAGCAATAGCATCAGAACCTGATCTCGCGCTGTTACACATGCGACATCCCAATTAGTTGGGTGTGCTTGAGGGAGGCAAGGTAAGATTGCTCGAAGCGGAGGTCGGGGAGAGGCGGCAGGGTGGACCGACGAGGGGCGGGTTCGAAAGCGGAGATGGATATGGAGGCGGAAGTGTTTGTCGAAGAAGAGGGTTATAAGGAAGAGCGGACTGTGGTGATAAGGGGTGTTTTCTGTAAAGCCGCTGTAGAAGGATTAATGTCGTGGGTAGGCGATGGATGGCGGTTCAGGGAGGCGGATTGAATAGTTGATGTCGGTGTTGCCGCTGGATTGTGGGCTATGATGGGTTGAAGGGTGGGAAGAATGATAATATGTGGTCAGGAGCATCAAAGAATGATGAAAAAGTGCGGCAATAGCAAGGTAGACAGATTGAAACAAGAACTCCAATATATAAATTTTAATACATAGTTTAACAAGTTAGTGCCCGTAATCTTCACAGAAGATTACCGTAAAAACTACTATATCTCGCTTATTTTATACTCTATTTAGAAAATTTAAGTGTAATTAGAAAGCACTCTATTTATAGTATATTATACATATATAAAGTTAAGCCCTAACCCTAATATATCGAAAGTTATTAAGGGTTCAATATTTGAGTGCTCCGGAGGCACTTCGGGGGTGACTGCGGGGGCAGCTTCAGGGAACTCCGCAGGCAAAAACATGTTTTTTGAGCTTTCCTTAGCCAAATCTTAACCAAATTTCAAAAGTCGAACGGCGTTAGAAAGCGCATGCTTGGTTCCAAAACTCATGAAATTATTTCGATATCATATGATCTATGTGGCGCGGGGCATTGCTGCGAAGAAGTTGCGGTGCGCATGATGTTCTAGGGTCCGGGGGCGCCAAGCTCAATGCTTGGCATTTGCTACTGAGCTTGTGCTGCCCGCAAAAACATGGCGAAAACGCTTCCTTTAGTTATTACTTTTGCGTAAGTAGACCGATTTTGAAAATTATGACGGCATTAGAAAGCGCATGCTTGGTTCCAAAACTTATGAAATCATCTCGATATCATATAACGTATGTGGCGCGGGGCATTACTGGGAAGAAGTTGCGGTGCGTATTCAACTTTTGCTACTGAGCTTGCAAAATATGGCGAAAACGCTTCTTTTGCTCATAACTTTCGCGTAAATGGACTGATTCTAAAAATTCTTGATGCGCAAGCAAGCTAATAATTGACTCCAAAACTTATGAAATCATCTCGATATTATATGATGTATATAGCGCGGGGAAGTACTGCGAAGAAGTTGCGGTGCGAATTCAAGTTTTGGTGGTTGAAGGCGCTAGGCCGAAAAGCGTACTATCAGGGGGGGGAAGTATAGGGCCATTCTGATTGGCTGCAAGTGCGGAATTGCTCCGAATGTCGCGATAATCTGTTATTAGAAGAAAGATCCATCGGCGGTTTTACCTCAGCTGGGAGTAGCGTTAGGTTTGTACTCCTAATGCTCACTTTTCGCCTAGAGGTACATGTATGGTAACTGACCGCACAACTTAAGGTCGCCCGTTCGAGCCGGGCAAGCCGCAAATCTTTTTTTTACCCCCTTTGCAAGATCAGCCGTGCACACGCAACATCGTTTTTTGATGTGCCGCCACCACCACTATCATCTCGATATTCCTTTGGTAACTATATTTTCAATCTGCTCTAAACTTTCAATTATACTGTTAGATATGAGACTTCGTCAGCGCCCACAAGTCCGAGTGACTGCTTCGCCGCTCTGTCGCAATATCGTAGATTCAGAATGACTGAAACAATCCCAGCAGTCCAATCAGGACACCAAATACGCCAGCTTCCATTGACTGAGATATCTGGAGAAGTAGTTGCTGCCCGATTTACCAACGAAGCTTACGAAATTCTGGAGCAACGTGAGCTCAAGCAGTTACGAGACTTTTTCAGCCTGCATCCAAGACACATTCCTTCGCGGGATGAACTACATGAAAACGTAACTCGACGATTGCAGATCTTTTATGAAGCAGAGGTCCTAGAATCGGGAGAAGACGGAAGTCGACTGACTTGCCCATCAGGTCCAGAAGACGCAGATCTGGGGCTTATCATGCATTGCCAGAGCAAAGAGGGCGAGGTGGGCCCGTTTTGGGATATGACAAATGCAAGTATCCAGGCGTTAGCTGCAAAAGGCTTGAGTGAGGACTTCACCTTTTGTTATGATTGGCACTGGCGCGCTGAAAGCTCTCCTCTTGGTCAACGTCTTTGTCCAGCGAAAACATGAAGAGGCCTGTCCAGAATCTACACAACGCTCTTTCCTACGACATTTTGGCCATGCTTCCACTCCCTCTTGTTGTAGTTGTCGGCAGTTGTGCACGGATGCATTACGAGAATGGCCCATCCTCTCAAGTTGCTCGACGCTTAGAGATCATGTTGCTTCCTGGGACAAGCCTCACTTTTGATCTAGATTTCAGTGATCATGCAATGAAGCATATAACGGCCTACATCGACCATCCTGCAGCTGGCTTCTTTGGGCGCCCAGCGGGCGACAACATGGCCCTCCGAATTGACGCTGCGTTCAACTTCTTTCTGTGGCTGATTGGAAAATCCTACGACCCCATTTCTCTCCAGCAGCGGTATTCTCAACATCGACGCGGAATGCCAGCTCTTGTTGCACCGTTGGAAGAGATCAGGTACTATATCAGGGCCGAAAAGGAAAAGCAAAGCTTATTACAGAGGGAGGACTACAGTGCAGAATTCTGGTTTTGGACTGAAGGTTTCCTCAAAGAAACGCCATCAGCAATCTTAAAGAAGGGCAAATCTGTTGCAGTTGCTGTTCGCGAAGAGCTCAATATCAACCCGAGGCTCCTCCCAGGCCACGCGAAAGATATGCCCGAACTTCGACGAAGGCTTCTCACAAGTTCCTTGTTTAAATGCACGAGGATGAAAAATGGGACAGACCTTGGTAGGGTGTATTTTCGTGGCGTAGCTATCATGGTGCCTGAAATCGCAGACTTTGGTACTGTCCAGGTGCATTGCGATCTATCTCCTGAGGGTGTAGACCATCCAACACCATGCGCTACCAACACAATTGACCGAGATCCTGCGAAACGTCTAGGTATCGAGCTCACTTACAAGGTTCAAATAACGGACTCATCGCAAGCTGTGTGGTATACGCAGCGTGGAGCGGCCAACACGATGAAATTGAACTCACTGGTCGACTTCCTCATGGGCAAACCTGAAGAATATACCGAGAGCCAGCCGCGACGTTTCCTGGATAGAAGCAAGATACGTGGAAGGACGTGTATTTCATATACAGGGGATGTGTTGTAACTTTTTCGGCTAGTCACGAGGAATCGGCAGGAGAGAGCCGCAATTCTAGAGATTTGACAGATTCGAAAGGCCCAGAGGGGACAGACTCTGTTACAAATCATAAGCGTCTCGAAGTGCTTCAAGTCTACTACGTAGGATTCGCAGCGTAGAGCGTGAAGCGAGCCAGATATTAGTTCGATCTCATTGAAGCTAAGACTGATTTCCATGTTCGATTGGTGACCCTTTTATATCCTCTCAACTCTTATATATTAGTAATATGATGGTGTCAAATATAACGAAGGCGCGTAACACCAGGCTGAAGGGAGCCTTAGTCGATACCTCAGTCGTCTTGAGGTGCCGAGAATTCCTGTTGAGATAAGCTATTCCTGATGAGGTTTTCATTGGCTAGCACTTGCAAAGTGCATGGGGGCTGGCAGACCCTTGTCTAGGGAGATGCACGGGCGACGATCATCCAGTATGCAAGGAGGGTAAAGCGGCGCTCACCCTAGGCCGGGAAAGGGGTGAGGCGGGGGGGCAGATTTTTGAAGCCTTAACAAGATGCCCGTTGCTAAATTAGCGCCCAACCTTACCCCGCGGCAAGCTCGAGCATATTATAAGTCATACCCACCGCCAATCCTTTAGTCCTTCTAGGGTAGACCTTTTCGCAGTTTATATAGATAAAGTTACTAGGGTAGAGGTTAGGGATAAGATAGCGAAAACCTATATCCTATCCAGATCAAGCAAGCCGTATAAACCTTAGTTCTCTACTTATATGTTACGACCACGGTGAAAGAGATACCTAATGGTTTCTGATAAGAATAGCAATTAGGCGGCAGCTCACCCACCTCCAAGGGGGCGCAGTCACTCAAGATCACCCAGGCTCGCGCGAGGATAAAGCGGCGCTCACCCTAGACCCGGCGGGGGGTGAGGCCGGGGCAGATTTCTGTCACCTTGGCAAGCTTGAAAATCAACAGCTGGTCACGGCTGGACTATCACACCTCTCTACACGTTCCATTGACCCAAGAGAAAGGTCTGATCAGGTCGTGGAGGCTCCTTGGATCCAATCCGGAGTGGCTACATGTTTCGAACCAACAATCCTTACCTTCGACATGTGAGATCTCATCTCAATCCCAAACTCCGCACCCTCCAGCAACAATCACAGCCTCCCCGGAGTGTCACCACTCGACGCCAGAGCTTTCTTCGGAATGGCCCATCCCTCAGCACCTTGGGCTTTATTGAAAAAGGGCAGGCCCAGCGTCAGGTGCAAATAGAAGCCGTTCCACCACTCCACGAGGCTTTGCACGATTCAAGGCACGAGAAGAGAAAACCTCGGCTGCAAAGAAACACGAAGGGTTTTCATGATACTCTGCGGAGCTATGAGGATGGCCAGCATCTGTTGTCAAAAGAATGGATTTTCCCAGCGAGAGAAGAAGGGAGCAGTGACAGGCCTGCCCCAACCGGCTTTAACGCCATTACTGCCCGCCTCCACAAGCTGGGCTTGGACCTTCGTCCTAGGAACATATTTTATGGTATGCTGTGCGCGTACCAGAATCCTGCGGCTTTGAAACAATACCTCATGATGCTACAAACACCCAGGGCCGACGACTCTCTAGCTGTTAAAGAATTTGCTGAATTCTTTGAATATATTGCACCGAAACTACGCAAGCGACGTGTCTCAAGGTGGCAAAAACGTATACACGATGAGCAATGGTTCAACTTCATCACAGGACTTGCAGACAATGAGTCGGTTCGGGTGAATGCGCCCCGCGAGCTCAGCCTTTATGACCTCGGACCAGGTCTAGACCTCAAATATTGGGGTTGGTACATTAATGTTGTGGATAGGATCCTTGGCACAGGAACCATCTACCTAGAATTCCTTAGGTTCAAGAACCAAGACGCTGCCCAAAGCGGTTTCGAAGAACGCGACACCAATTTCATCAAACGGGTTCTCAATCCCACAGTCCAGCACCTGGCAAAAGGTAATGACCCCGAGCACGCTTGGGAACTTGCACGAGAGCTTGAGGACCCTTCAAAGGGTATACAGCCACATACGTGGAAAGCTCTACTCGCCCATCCTGACTACGTCCGAACTTGGATTCCCAAGATGTTTCCCAAGATGAATGGCTCTAAGTTGGAAAGCCTGGAAGAGCAAGTGATGGGGATATCGGCCTCGGAAACGCTTGAGCATGAAATGCGTCAGCTTGAAATGGATATGGGACTTTCCTGGAGAGGTGGAGAGGATGGCTATCATACCACGACCACCAACTCCAGATTTCTTCCGGGGTTCACAGCGCATGTCATTGACGAAGACTCTTCTGATCACACACTCAACCTTTTGGAGACTGAAGCGAGTGGCAAAGCAACACCCTGAGTCCAGCAGAATGTGAAGATACGAATATGACTATGATCAAACCCGCATTAGAAAAGTGTTGTGTCGGTCCCAAGGGGTGCGATGAAGCTAAATTCATCCTCGAAGGCGAAGATTGAAGTCGCAGCGATTGATTTGGTGATACGCAAGTTCATCGTCTGCGGTCTTTACTACTAACCTATGTTCTGACCTATTTTGACTTCTAGAAATATGACTCCAAACCTCTGTATCTCTAGCCAATCTTGCATGAACACCAAACTTTCCTCTCTGTGAACCAAAGCAGGGTCTTCTCCAGTCTCTTTCCTATCTTGTCAGATCTTAACTTCGAACCAGAAATCAAATTCTCCTTTAGAGCACACCCCTTACTTTGACAGCCTGGCGACTTCCTTCAAATTTACTAACCGCTTCCTATCATTCAAACGTGCAGCTTTGATTTTATTGACTTCAAAGTTTATTCAAATCATAGTCAACCTACCATGCGTCCCTATAATTCCCGCGAAGTCTTCCTGGCTGGCGGTATCAGAACATCATCAGTTCATGCGGAAGGTTACTTGTCTGTGCTCAAGGGAGTCGAAGTCAAAGCCCTGAGCCTCGTATGCCGAGAGCTTCCTCATCTCGAGAAATCAATATTGTGAAGAAAGGATTGTGAAAATGATATCGCTCTCATCAACAATTACATTCATCGTTATCCTGATCGAAATCGGTTTCATTTCACACTCTAAGCACATCATTCATCGCCTATCGTTCACTCTCCTGCGGGAGCTTCTAGCTCGGCATCCTCCAGTACTTAAGAGGTCATCTTCCCCCCAAAAGTTTTCTTTCTCATCAACCCAAACCTCAACACCTACCACATCTTACCCCAACACTCTCCTTCTACACACATCATGCCTACTCATTCTTATA